ATATACACACACACACACGCATATATATAATTAGTGTGTATATATATATATATATATAATTTATATATATATATAATTAGTAATTTAATATTAACAGTATTAATAAATAATGAAAATAATATGAATTATATTAATTTATATTAGAATATTAATATTAACAGTATTAATACATAATGAAAATAATAGAGTGAATGATATTAATAATATTATATTAACAGTATTAATAAATAAGAAAATAATATGATTAATATGATTAATTAATATTAAAGTATTATTTTCAACAATAATGTATTGGTAATAATCAATAATATTAATAATTACTACCATAAATAATATTAATAATATGCTATGGAATCTTGGGAGTTGTAGTCTTTAGCCTTTTCTGCCAGTGCCTCGCCAAACTACAACTCTCACTATTCCACAGCATTGCTCCCTGGCAGCCAATCCAGTGTCAGACTGCATTTCTTCTGCACCCTGTGGCTTCTTCCTGCCTGGGGAGAAAAGCAACCAGAAAGCAAGGAGGAAGCATGGGGTGATTCTTCTCCTTTGCAGAGACAGATTTGCAGGAAACACAAGGGCGGAAGTTTTGCCACTTCCTGCGGCTGTAACTGCCCCCTTCCCTCCTCAAAAGGACAACCGAGGTCAAAAGGGGATGGGGAGGGACTGGCCTGCCCTGAACCCACATGGACGCATCCACACTGCAGAGTTAATCCAGTTTGACACTACTTCATCTGCCAGGGCTCAATGCTGTGAAATCTTGTGACTTGTAGTTTGGGGGAGACACCAGCACTCTTTGGCAAAACTGCAAATCCTAGGATTGCACAGCACAGCAGGCACACCTAAACACCCCTCCCACAAATCCCCTGAAACAAATGTTATATTCTCAGCAAGCTGTAATATATTTCTTATTGTTCATTTTTTTGGGTTTGAAAATATTGGAAAAGTTGACCTCTAAATGAAGATTAGAAATAAGAGAATAATAATAATAATAATAATAATAATAATAATAATTATTATTATTATTATTAGAAACACAACAAGATGAGTCCACAGCAGACACTCTGCTGGCTGATGTATTGGATCACAGGTCGGACACTTCCCAAGTGTCTAGGACTGTGTGATGTATCTGCAAATAATGTGCTCAGATCCCAGTAAGGTGGCCTTCTGCAGCTGGCAGATAGTAATTTTGTCTTTGCCGATTGTGTTTAAGTGCAGGCCAAGGTCTTTAGGCACTGCACCCAGTGTGCCGATCACCACTGGGACTACCTTTACTGACTTGTGCCAGAGTCTTTGCCCTTCTATCTTTAAATCCTCATATTGTGTAAGCTTTTCCAGTTGCTTCTCATCAACCCTGCTGTCACTTGGGACTGCAACATTGATGATCCGTACTTGTTTTTGTCCCACAATTGTGAGGTCATGAGTATTGTGCTCCAAAACTCTGTCAGTCTGAATTCAGAAGTCCCAGATGGTAATTTTGTCAGTGCTGATTGTGTTTAAGTGCAGGCCAAGGTCTTTAGGTACTGCACCCAGTGTGCCGATCACCAATGGGACCACTTTGACTGGCTTGTGCCACTGTCTTTGCAGTTCCTATCGTGTCAGCTTTTCCAGTTGTTTCTCTCCAGTCCTGCTGTCACCTGGGATTGCAACATCCACAACCCATACTTTGTTTTTATTATTATTATTATTATTATTATTATTATTATTATTATGTTTATTTATATCCCGCTTATCCTCTCAACCAGAAGATTCAAAGAGGCTTAAGCTAAAAGTATTTCCATACAATATAACATCTATGTAACATGATTTTTTGTTCCTGAGTTATAAATGCAATTACCTAATTCAGGGGTCCTCAAACTTTTTAAACCGGGGGCCAGTTCACTGTCCCTCAGACCGTTGGAGGGCCGGACTATAGTTTTTTTTAAAAAAAAATCAATTAAAAATTCCTATGCACATTGCACATATCTTATTTTGCTGTGTGGAAGGGCCCTTAGAGGGGGTTCTTTCTAGCCCTCTTTAGGCAGTAATTCCAGGAGCAGAGAATGGGAAATCTTCCTATTTCTAGTCTGAACAAAATCTGGCTACCAGTATTAAAAACTCTAAAATTATAACTGTAAATAAAGAACAACACTCAAACACAGGGGAACTCCAGACAAGAAACAATCAGGGCCAGCTAATCACCTCTCAACAAAGGATTCTCCCTAAAAACTGTCAGGCTATGAAATGGTAATCAAGGTGGCCAATTGAAACATTCATACCTACCTCCAACAGACAAGAGTTCTTTCTCCCACCCTGGATCTTCCACAATTTTCCTAGTTAAAGGTTTTCCTCTGACATGAAGTCCAGTCGTGTCTGACTCTGGGGTGTGGTGCTCATCTGCATTTCTAAGTCGAAGAGCCGGCGTTGTCCGTAAGACACCTCCAAGGTCATGTGGCCGGCATGACTGCATGGAGCGCCGGGGCAGCCTCCCTTGGTTGGCTCACGCTGCCCATTGGGCTCAATGGGCAGCATGAGCCTGCCCAGCCCCGCGCGGCCTACTTGTGGGTAAAGCGCCTTGCGAGGTGCTTTACACACAAGTAGGCCACACGGAGCAGCTGCCCTTGGCTGGCTCACGCTGCCCATCGGGCCTGACGGATAGCGTGAGCCTGCAAAGGGAGGGGCACTGTGTGTGGGGGGGGGCGCTCCTCCTCCACGGGCCGGATAAGTGCCCTTGGCGGGCCGGAAGTGGTCCACGGGCCGTAGTTTGGGGACCCCTGACCTAATTGGTTCTACGCACTGCGCAACTAAAGAAATAACACTTTCAAACCAGGAACAGAAATGTTTTCAGATTTGACCCCTCAATGAAAACCCTCCTTGGTCACCAAATTTCTACTTTTGCTTGTTTCTACTAGTTACAGTTTCTACTAATTTCTACTAGTTTGAAACTTTTTGGAGCATTTAGAAAGAGGGTTTGGTCAAAGGGGCACAGCTAATTGAAGTGTTCAAGATGTGACTTGATTTCAGGCTCCTACTCTCTGCAATGCTATACCTTTGGAGACTGAAGGGAGATTTCATGAGGCATGGATGAGTGAAGGGGTAATGCTGAGCTTGAGGGGGGAAAGCAATCAGGGTGGTGTGGGAGACTTTGGGCCCTTCCTCACAACTATATAACTCAGAATATCAAGGCAGAAAATCCCACAATATCTGCTTTGAACTGGGTTATCTGAGTCCACACTGCCATATATTCCAAGTCAAAGCAGAAAATGTAGTACTTTATTCAGCTGCATGGAACACGTTATAACATAATTATTGGTATATAAAGCCACTAATTAACAGTAGTAATTTTACACCTTCTAAGAAAAACATGTGTATCCTATTTGAAAGAAAACTTCCTGACCCTACATCAGGATAGAGTCTTACAATATTTTATCCTATTGAATCTCTTAACAAGCAGTGTGTGTGTATGTATGTGTGTGTTATACACACACACACACACATACATACATACATACATACATACATACATAAAGTAGACTTGATTGTATAGCATTTATCATAATCTTGTTCTTCTTTCTGTCAATGTATTTTTAATCACTCAATGCCATTATGGGCCAGTCTTCAAATATTCTTCTTATATACTCCGCGAAAGGCTTCGAATTATTTTGAAAACATTGTATTATTTTATTTCTAAGGAGACAAGTCAATTTATCAAAGTCTGCAAAGTTCAGGACTTTGGTATAAAGGTTTTGACACAACTTACAAACCCAGTTTATTGAAGAGACTGTGGTTTGAAGTATCGGTCCCAGTGATCTTTAAAGGAACTATAGTCCCCTTTAAACACCTTGGGGCCATTTTCAATGTTAAAATGTCTCAACTCCGGACTCTTCCAGACATGTCCTATACCCCTGCCTGATATATCTAGGTAAAGGTTTCCATTAAGTGTAGTCATAGCCGACTCTGGGGGTTGGTGCTCATCTCCATTTCTAAGCTGAAGAGCCTGGCATTGCTCATAGACATCTCCACAGTCATATGGCCAGCATGACTGTATGGAATGCCGTTACCGTCCCACCAGAGCGGTACCTATTGATTTACTCACATTTGCATATTTTCAAACTGCTAGGGGGGTTGGTTCTCATCTCCATTTCTAAGCCAAAGAACCGGCGTTGTCCATAGACACTTCCAAGGTAATGACTGCATGGAGCGCCATTACCTTCCTGCCTATTTATTTACTCACATTTGCATGTTTTCAAACAGCTAGGCTCCCCGGATTCGAATCTGCGACCTTTTGGTCAGCAAGTGCAGCAGCTCAGTGCTTTAACCCACTGCGCCACAGAGGCTACTGATATATCTGTTTATCTATATATTCTATTGCAGTGAATAAATGATGCTAAAGTTGGTCTGGGAAAAGGGAACCTTCTTCAGCATTGTGGATAAAGACATTGTAGAACTAGATATTTGTGGGAGTAAAGGGGGAAAGCAATGGGGTGGCAAAAGGAAGGCATTTACACCCCCTCCCCGTAAATAAGAATTCCCTCTGTTTTCCTTCAGTCCCCAACATTTGAGGATTGCAGAAATGCACTTTAGGCATCCAAGAAAAGAGGTTGGTAATGTTACCAATATGAATATGCGCCCAGCCAATAGAAACAAAAAATACTCAAAGTGAGTGATTTTCATTGTCTTCCTCTTTGCCAGTGAGGACATCTGGAGGTCCAAAGTTTGGGAATGACTATTTTTTGATATGTATGGGGAGGTCAGGAATTTCCAAGGCTCTTGGTGCCCTTCTCTTGTCTCTGTGGCACCCTCTGATTCAGGAGTAGGTAGTTAAAGAGATAGAACAGAATATAAAGTTGTTGTTATTGTTATTATTATTATTATTATTATTATTATTATTATTATTATTAAGGGTGCATCTATTCCATTAATGCAGTTTGGCACCACAGTGACTGCCCTGGTTCAATGCTATGGAATAGTGGATGGAGGGATGGTGACTTCTCCTCCTCTTCTTCTTCCTCCTCCTCCTGTAGGGAAGCCACTGCTCTGGGGCTCCTTCATGCAGAGGCCGCTGCACAAGCGGAAGGGCGGCCAAGTGCGCTTTTCCAACGACCAGACCGTGGAGCTGGAGAAGAAGTTTGAGACACAGAAGTACCTCTCGCCTCCGGAGAGGAAGCGCCTGGCCAAGATGCTGCAGCTCAGCGAGAGGCAGGTGAGAGCGGTGCCAATGGGAGGAATTATATTCGCAGAATCCTAAAATCATAGAGTTGGAAGAGATCACATGAGCCATCCAGTCCAACCCCTTTCCATGCAGCAAAAGCACAATCAAAGCATCCCAGACAGATAGCCACCCAGTCTCTGTTTAAAAGCCTCCAAGGAAAGAGCTTCCACCACACTCCGAGGCATCATAATCATAAGCATCGTAATAAAAAACACCATGCAATAAAATTTGAAAAAAAAGTTCTGTTCCTGGTTTGACAATGTTATTCCTGTTTTAGTTGTGCGGTAATTACTTTGAAAGTAGTTGTTCTACTTCGGGAACTTCATTTTTGTGGCTGCCACAAACTTTGTTTATTTATGGTATTTATACTCTGCCCTTTTCACCCTGAAGGGCACTCAGAGAGGCTTACAGAACATACATATGGCAAACAATCAATGCCGATTATACAATTAACAAGGACAGATAAACACAGAGGTAAAGGCAGTTTCCCCCCATCTTGTTTCCGGCAACTTGGAGGCTGTGCTTGACTCCAACCACTGGGGGTGCTGTCACTTCACCTTCCATGTCGAAGAACTTTCTTCCAGTGTCCTTAAGGGTGCCTTTATTACCTTCCCGCTAAAAGCAGTACCTACTTCTCTACTCGCATTTCTGCTTTTGACCTGCTAGGTGGGCAGGTGAGCTGGGGCTAATGGCACATGCTCATCCCCAATCTAGGCTCAAACTGCCAACCTTCTGATTGGCAGGATTTTCCTGCAGCACAGTGGTTTAGCCTGCTGTGCTAAGCCTGGCCCCTTGAATTGAATTTTGAGACACAACATTCAATTGAGACTCGATGAGACATTCTTTGGAAAACTATAGCAAAATATGCTGCAGGATGTCATGCAAAAACAAACTGATAAATGTTTTCATTTTTTTTAAATAATAGAACTAATTAGGAATTGACATGTATAAGCCAGGAACAAAAATCGTGTTCCATATTGCAATGAATATCTTAGAGTCTCAGCCAATTCAACATGGTTTGTGACATCCACAAAAACGAAGTTTCTGGAGCATAATAACTACTTTCAAAGTAAGCACACACAATTAAACAGTGTTATGTAACAAAGTAGTTGTTATGCTAGAGTAGACCTGTATAATAAAGTTCAATGCACTTCAGTCTGCATTATATGGGTCTGTACTGACCATATAATGCAGCTCAAACTGTGTAGATGGGGTTATAGGTAAAACCAATAACACCATTTGAAAACCTGTTAAACGATATAAAACACAGCACCCCTGTCTCATCCTTTAAAACTCTATTCCTTAAAAGCTTGCCTTAATAGAAAGGTAAATGCAAAGATACAGAATGGGGGGCGTATGGCTCGAGAGCAGTACGTGTGAAAAAGATCTTGGAGACCTCGTGGTCAACAAGTTAAACATGAGTCAACAATGTGACTCAGCAGCAAAAAAAAAAGCCAATGGGATTTTGGCTTGCATAAATAGGAGTCTAGTGTCTAAATCCAGGGAAGTCATGCTATCTCTCTGTTCTGCCTTGGTTAGACCACCCTGGAATATTGTGTCCAGTTCTGGGCACCACAATTGAAGAGAGATATTAACAAGCTGGAATGTGTCCAGAGGAGGGCAACTAAAATGATCAGGAGTCTGGAGAACAAGCCATATGAGGAGCGGCTTAAAGAGCTGGGCATGTTTAGCCTGAAGAAGAGAAGGCTGAGAGGAGGCATGATGGCCATGTATAAATATGTGGGAGGAAGTCATAGGGATGAGGAAGCAAGCTTGGTTTCTGCTGCCCTGGAGACTTGGACGCGGAACAATGGCTTCAAACTACAAGAAAGGAGATTCCACCTGAACATTAGGAAGAACTTCCTAACTGTGAGAGCTGTTCAGCAGTAGAACTCTCTGTGTGGTGGAGGCTCCTTCTTTGGAGGCTTTTAAACAGAGGCTGGATGGCCATCTGTTGGGGGTGCTTTGAATGCGATTTTCCTGCTTCTTGGCAGGGCGATGTACTGGATGGCCCATGAAGTCTCTTCCAACTCTATGATTCTATGAATAGAAAGGTTTGAGCCTGCTGCTGGAAGGATAGCAGACAGGGGTCCATTCTGGCTTCCTTAGACAGAGAGTTCCAAAGTTGAGTTATAGTCCGAGCTCTGTTTCTAACCCCTTTCATGATTTAGTAAGGAAAGCTGCCTCCTGGTCTTCAGTCCACTAACAGCATGGCAGATCATGTCCAGCTATAGTCCCATTGTATATTTACTATTGAGGATGCTGGACTGTTTTCAGGTTGTGTGAACGTCCACTTCTGATAGGTTCAAATAAGATCATGGCCACTGCCTATTTACTTAGAAGTTGTCATGGCTGTGCACCTTTAGCTCATTTTTTAAAGCTATGGCAACTGAATTACAATATTTTTTGGCAAAATTCGTTCAGAGGAGGTATTTGTTACCCAGGGGCTAGAGCTCTTCCACACAACCACATAACTCAGAATATATCAAGGAAGAAAATCCCACAGTATTGGCTTTGAACTGAGTTATCTGAGTCTACAGTAACATATATTCCAATTCAAAGCAGATAATGTGGGATTTTATTCAGAAGGGGCTCCCATTGGTGTTATGGCTAAGCAACAATTCAAACCCTGCTCTCCATAGTTCACTGCTATAACTACTACACCTACTGTACTAAAAAAAAGTATCCCCAGTTAAGATTTGTCTTATTGATTAATTTTTTTACATCTCTCTCTTATTTGCTTTCTCTTTTTTAAACCTATATAGGTTAAAACTTGGTTTCAGAACCGTCGGGCTAAATGGAGGCGCCTAAAGCAGGTATGGTGGGACATCTTGGTTGTTAATTCATTGATAAGTTACTTTCAGTCTTTTCCCTTTGAAAAAAGAAAAAGAAAATCAGTTTTGGTGGAGCCAGCTTTTGAAAGCCACCCTGTTTCTCAAAATCAGACTTTTCCAAAGGGCTCTATACAAAAATCAAGAACACTTCCAAAAGGATCTCTTGACATTTCTAGTTCTGTTTCCAGTTGAACGATTTCCAAGGTTGAGAAGAAAGTGTTTGTTTATGCAGTCCTCTCAAGAAGTGGGCGTTGTTAGTTAAATGTGACCAAGGATAGGTTGGGAATTTTGACTCTGTGATAACCTGCTGGTTGAGTTAGGTCCCTTCTATACTGCCATATAAATTCCAAATTATCTACTTTGAACTGGATTATATGTCAGTGTAGACTCATAAAAATCCAGTTCAAAGCAGATAATGTGGATTATTTGCTTTGATAATCTAGATTATATGGCAGTGCAGAAAGGGCCTTTGTGTTACTCTTATACCTTACTGATATTTGAGATAGTGGCATCAATCTGTATACATTCTACAGCTTATCAGTGGTTCTCAAGCTGTGGGTCCTCAAGGTATTTTGGCCCACAACTCCCAGAAATTCCAGCCAGTTTACCAGTTCACAAACTCTGAGGATGCCTGTCATAGATGCAGGTGAAATGTCAGGAGAGAATGCTTCTGGAACATGGACATATAGCTCAAAAAACCTACAACAACCCAGTGATTCTGGCCATGAAAGCCATCAACAATAAAGCTTACCAGCTGTTAGGATTTCTCTTAGTTGAAGGCCAAAAGATCTGGGGACCCACAGGTTGAGATCCACTGGCTTGAATCTTCTATCTGTTTTGATGGGAGGCTGGAGCCAAGGACTGAAACACTTCCCTGTGCTTCGGACTTATCTGCTACATTAGAATTTCCACAAATAAAGCTGATGTATATCATTTTTTGGTTCAATGCAAGGTCTGGACTGTTACTCGGATGCAGTGTAGGGTTCTCTGAGTGGCCGTCCTTCCTATAAAAGCCTCTGCCAGTGACTTCCTCTCTATGGTACCCATATCTATAGGTATTGAAGGCAAGAAGACACTGGAAAATGTGCAAAAATACCTACTGTCTTCACTCTCCATATTAATAACCATAGAGCTTCTAAGTTACTTCTGAGTTACCTCAGAACTGCTCCCGGTCACCTCTGGGCTGAGAGGGGTGGTATATAAATATAGTAAATAAATAAATAATAATAGACAAATAAATATCCCAGATCAGTCAATACCACCCCCAGAAAAAATAATTTTTCTATGGTTAATTAAAGGACTAATCCCATGTCTCCCCATGTTTGCTTTTAGGAGAATCCTCAGGCCAGCAAAAAAGAAGAGTCTGGGAATGAGGACAACCACCCTAGTCCCACGCCAGAAGGCTGTTTGAGTTCTGAACTTGAAAAAGAAGCTTCCCCGGGTCAGCTGCAGTATATCCTCTCCCCTACCTCTCAAGAAGAGCTTGACTCTGAAGTCTCAGATGACTCTGAACAAGAGGTGGACATTGAAGGTGACAAGGGGTATTTGAACGGTCCACATCAGTAGCCTCTTTTCCCTTGAACTTTGAGAACGGATGTTCCTTTGGCTTGATTTTAAGAAGAGCTGGTTTGACAAAGCAACCTATTTGCTGCATAAAGAAAGATCTTTCCATCAGAGGGGGAATGAGACAAGCACACAGTGGCGTTGGTCTAATATCCATTGTTCGGGCTAGACTATCAATTGCTATATGGAATAAATCCGTTTATTGACTGGTGATTGATGCTTACTGTGGCTGGTGGAGCAGAGGACATGGTCATCAAGCCAACTACACCTCTTTTGCTCCTCAACTTGCTCTTTTTCCAGGTCTAATGACACTTCTTCTTCCTGCTGGTTGAGACCAAATGGACGGTTCCCCTCTTTACAGACAGTTTGACTACACTTGCTTTTATGAACGAAAGAAAACTGTTGCTGTTTGTCTAGTTGCTGAGAGATCTTTTTCCCATTCTGCTGGGAATATCCTCCATCTTCCTCCATGAATTGAAGATCTTTTGTCCAGCCAAGGAAGGAAAAATATCACAGCAAAATGACATTGAACCTTTTGGTTTCCTGAGTTGAATATTCACCACTGGGATGGAACTGTTTGCAAGATGTCCTAAGTGTGGTGGAGTTCATAAGGGAAGCAGAGGTTGTGCAGGCAGTCTTCTTTGTGAGAGTGCGAGTGGAGTTTAGTAGATCCCATCAAGATTGACAATGATGTATGTATAACTAGAATGTACCATGAAACATGGGCACTGGGCATATGTCGGGATCTTTAAAAATGGTCTTGAATTTTATCTTAATTTTATTAGGAATCATAGAATGGTGAAGAAGGCAATTGTATTTTTGTCCGCCATATTTTCTACAGGAGGAGTGGGCTAACGTAAGGGTCTTCTTTCCTTCCATAAGCAGATGCATCACAGATTTGGGATTTAGAGTGATGGGAAGAGTTATGCAACACATCTGGGGGGCCTCAAAGTTGAGGAAGGATGCCATATGTACATGTTTATTGGAACCTCTGTGATGCGTTGACATATTTTAAATGTAACAGACAAAAATGGAATAATTTAAGATCAATGATGTAGCATATGTTTTTCTCATTTACACCAGTGAGTTATTTTTGAGTCATTTTTTTTAAAGGAAAGACATCATCAATTATTATTTTATTTATTTTTCCGGTATTTCTATCCCATCACTTCTCTACCCCCGAGGAAGGACTCAGGACGGCTTACAATATGCACCGATATGATGCCGATACATGACAATCACCATAATGCAACCACAATTGGACATAAGTCATAATTAAAACAGTATATAAGCAAAAATTAAAACAGTGAAAAAGCAGTAAAAACAGTCTCATTAGCTGTGTTGCCGTTCCAGTCAATGTCCATCTAAATTGCTACTTATGTCTGCTGACCAAAAGTCTGGTCCCAAAACCACGATTTTAATTTCTTCCTAAATGCCAGGAGGGAAGAAGCCGATCTTATTTCATTTAGGAGTGTGTTCCATAGGTGGGGGCCACAGCTGAGAAGGCCCTTTCTCTCGTCCCCACCAGATGCATTTGTGATGACAGGAGCGAGAGCAGGGCCTCCCTGGATGATCTTAGATTATGAGGTGGGACCAGAGGCAGCCCTAGGTAATTTTCAATGGTAAGCAAACAGTATTTTGGCGCCCCCCCCCAACCAATCATTGATATATAGTTTCTGTTCGTGTGGGAGTTCTGTGTGCCATATTTGGTTCAATTCCATCATTGGTGGAGTTCAGAATGCTCTTTGATTGTAGGTGAACTATACATCCCAGTAACTACACTTGCCGCACTTGCTCCCTTGCCTGGCCCCCTTTGGGTCCGGAGCCGTGCCTGAAGACTCCCGTGTGCACCAAAAGTCACCTCTTCTCCTGACTTTCTCCTCAGCCATTGGGACCAAGAGAGAGAGAGAGACAGAGAGAGAGGTGGAGATGCCCACCTTTCCTGAAGGTAGACGCAAAAACAAAGGTGGGAGATACCTCCAGCCAGAGGGGCTCTCTCTCTCTCTCTCTTGGTCCCAATGGCTGAAGAGAAAGTCAGGAGAAGAGGCGACTTTTGGTGCGCACGCTGGGATCTTCAGATACGCCTCTGGACCCGAAGCGGGCCAGGTGCGGCGGCTCCGCCCCTTGGCCCACCCGCGGATTGGGGAGGGGAGAGGAGGCGGGTGGAGCGCTAGGGGATCGGGAAAGGGAGCCGGTCATGGGGAAGGGATCGAACGCGGAAAACGATTGAGCACCGGCTCTGCTCGCGCACCCGGTGGCCTGGTAGAGCAGGAACAAGAGGGGCTAGGTGAGGCTCAAGGGCCCGGCCCCTTTGGGAAGAGGATCGCCCGGCAGTGAGGCAAGAAAGCCGAGACTCCCCCCGGACTGCTAGGGCTGTTGTGAGCTGAGGGGGCGCTCCTCAAGTGGCGGTCGAGGGGCATTTACAGAGGCGCCTCTGCGCCCCTGGCAAAAAAAAGTGTTCTGCGACCGCTTACTTCACATAATGGACGAGCCGCCCCTGGGTGGGATGTACAGGTGGATGCGTTCGGACAAGTAAGCTGGACCAGAACTGTATAGAGCTTTGTAGGTCAGAACCAGCACTTTGGATTGGACTGTATGTCATGATTTTAAGTTGTCTGTTTGTTAGCTCCAAACTCCAGCCTTACCAAACCCATCCAAATGTTTGATCTATTGAAGAAGGGAAGTTAAAAACAGAATAAAAGAGGACAATAGAGAAAAGTGCCCAGCACTGTGTAGGCATTAATAAAGCCACTAAAGGATTACAAACACTCTCAGCAGGATTTATGTCTGAGTAGACATTGGTCGGCCTTGTGTTTAACTAAATGAATACTTTGACTCCAAACTAATAACTGCAGCTTCACCAAAATCCTCAAAGTTTTTGAACCACTCATTTGGGGAAAAAGAAGGAGGGTAAAGCCAAAATAAATTGAAATCAGATGGGATTGAGAAATCAAAGTTCTTCATCCAAGTGCCTCACATGGTGTAAGCTATAAGAAATGCGCTAAAGCATTGGTTCTCAACCTGTGGGCCCTCAAGTGTTTTGTCCTGCAACTCTCAGAATTCCCAGTCAGTTTACCAGCTGTTGGGATTTTTGGGAGTTGAAGGCCAAAACATCTGGAGACCCACAGATTGAGAACCACTGTACTAAAGGATTACAAAAGTTTTCCATGGGATTTACTTCAGTGTAGTGAATAGGAGGGCATAGGAATATTTTGGAGCTATTATTCAAAATAATAGCTCCAGTTTCACCAAACATGTTCAAAGGGAAGCTGAGGCTCTTCCGTGCATCAATTGCCTTTGGGTGTGACAGGTTGGTGTGGATTAGGTGATGCTCAAGATTTATATAAAGTTCAGTTATATGAGGGAATTGAGTATCCGTGGTTTTTTGGGGAGTGTATGTGGAGTCCTGGAACCAATCCCTTATGGTAGAAAGGACCGACTATACTCAATAAAACCCAGAATAAAACCAGCATATGAAATAATTGAAGAGACTCAGAATAGTAAGTAAACTTTATTACGGTCGATGACCAGATCATAACAGGGGGGCCCAGTCCCGTACACCCACATCAAATCCAAGGGGTTATATACTTCAAACTTTAACAAATTTTAAAATCTAAGCTAAATACCAATACAAGTATTTATTAAAACCTAGCTCAACCCATGAGACCATCCAAAGATAGTCTAAAGAGAGGTATGGGAATGGCACCGGGGAGGGGGGAATATCCAACACTATAAATATCAGTCTATATCTGATTTCCCATCTATATTCCAGAGATAAAGCTTAGGTCTTTTAACCCTCAATCATTGTAACTAGGTAACATTATATAGATTAAGCCTCAGTTAACAGGAGCCCCTGGTGGCACAGTGAGCTGCTAAACTTGCTTACTGAAAGGTTGCAGGTTTGAATCCAGGGAACAGCGTGAGCTCCCGCTGTTAACCCCAGCTTCTGCCAACCTAGCAGTTCAAAAATATGCAAATGTGGGTAGATCAATAGGTACTGCTCCATCAGGAAGGTAACGGTGCTCCATGCAGTCATGCTGGCCACATGACCTTGGAGGTGTCTATGGACAACACCGGCTCTTTGGCTTAGAAAGATAGAAGAGCACCAACGCCCAGAGTCAGACTGGACTTAATGTCAGGGGAAAACCTTTACCTAACAGGGTAACAGGACTCTCTTGGCTGTGGTGACTACTGCCTGCTAAGTGGAGACTGGGAACTTCCCTACATAGCCATAAACTACACAAGTGTGTAACTCCATGGTACACATGAATAACTATCATGGCTTTGCAAATTTTTTCCACTTGTGACCCCTTTCCAACTAAGAAATCTTTGCATGGCCTCGGGTATATAGGTATCTAAAATAAGTATACAAGTCAAACTATGTAACATGATTTTTGTTCTTGGGTTATAAATATCATTTCCTAATTGGGTTTGCCATACAAACATTGAAAAGGTTTATTAAACTGCAAAAATGTTGTTTTTGCGGGACATCCTGCAGCACATTTTGCTATAATTTTTCAATGAATGTCTCCTTGAGTCTCGACAAATTCCACATAGTTTGTCGCAGCCGCAAAAACAAAGTTTCCAGAATATTACAACCTCTTTTAAAGTCAATATCACACAATGAAATGGGAAATGATACTTTCAAACCAGGAAGAGAATTTTTTTCAAATTTTGTTACATAGTGTAATCAGTATTTATAAGGTTTTCTAAACAAGCAGACTGGGTTTCCTTTTTGTGGAATACAACAGACGCATTTGCTGCATAATCCACTGTAAACACGGAAGGTTGTTGCTAACAGATTTGTGTAAATGGGCAACACTCAGAGACCTTTTCCTGTTGTCAAATATTTTATGACCCCTACATATTGCCAAGGGGAGCCATTAGGGGTTGGGATCCACAGTTTAAGAAGCACTGTCATAGAAGATGCCAGTGATTATTGTTTAGTGGGTTGTTGTAGGTTTTTTCGGGCTATATGGCCATGTTTTAGAGGCATTTCTCCTGACGTTTTGCCTGCATCCATGGCAAGCATCCTCAGAGGATGCTTGCCATGGATGCAGGCAAAACGTCAGGAGAAATGCCTCTAAAACATGGCCATATAGCCCGGAAAAACCTACAACAACCCAGTGATTCCGGCCATGAAAGCCTTCGACGATTATTGTTTATCTTGCAACTGCCTCTCCTCCTTGACACCCTCTAATCATTGGCTATGCTAGCTGGGGATAATGGGAGATATAGAACAGGGTTCCTCAAACTTTTTAAGCCAAGGGCCAGGTCACAGTCCCTCAAACTTTTGGAGGACTGGATTATAATTTGAAAAAAACATGAATGAATTCTTATGCACACTGTACATATCTTATTTGTAGTACAAAAAATACTTAAAAACAATACAATAATTAAAATGAAGAACAGTTTTAACAAACTTATTAGTATTTCAATGGGAAGTATGGGCCAGCTTTTGGCTGATGTGATAGGATTGTTGTTGTTGTGTGCTTTCAAGTCATTTCAGACTTAGGTTGACCCTGAGCGAGGGCCGGGTAAATGACCTTGGAGGGCCGTATCCAGCCCTCGGGCCTTAGTTTGAGGACTCCTGGTATAGAATCATAGAATGGTAGCATTGGATGAGACCACATGAGCCATCTAGTCCAACCTCCTGCCATGCAGGAAAACCACAACAAATAGAGGCGGCCCTAGGTAATTTTCAACAGTAAGCAAACAGTATTTTGGTACCCCCCCCCCCCAACCAATCACTGATATATATTTTCTGTTTGTCGTGGGAGTTCTGTGTGCCATACTTGGTTCAACTCCATCATTAGTGGAGTTCAGAATGCTCTTTGATTGTAGGTGAATTATACATCCCAGTAACTACAACTCGCATATGTCAAGGTCTATTTTCCTCCAAGAGTGCCTCAAGAGCGCCCCTGGGCAAAATCAACTATACTGCAAATGCTTACTTTGTGTAATGGGTTGAGCCGCCCCTGACAACAAAGTACCCCTGACAGATGGCCATAGCCAAATAGTCTGATACATTTGGAAGACACCAAATTACGGAAAGATGACTTCTTGTCAAAAATATAATCAGTGCTTACATACTCTGTATCAAAACACAAAGTGGCAGTATTCACAACCCAAAGTTGCACCACTTTGTTGGGACAATTTATAGTCAAGTTCTTGTATTTCACCCCAGTTTATGAAAGAAGGAAGCTCCTTCCAAATACAGTAGAGTCTCAGTTATCCAACCTTCGCTCATCCAACATTCTGCATTATCCAATGCAGTTTGCCTCCTGCTCGGATCCACAACTGTTTCAATACATTGTAATGTTTCGGTGCTAAATTTGTAAATACAGTAATTACTACATAATGTTACCATGCATTGAACTGCTTTTTTTGTCAATTTGTTGTAAAACATGATGTTTTGGTGCCTAATTTGTAAAATCATAACATAATTTGATGTTTAATAGGCTTTTCCTTAATCCCTCATTATCCAACATTTTCGCTTATGAAACGTTCTGCTGGCCCGTTTAT